ATCATTTTCAATTGCGCCCTCAATTTACACAGAAAGTTCAGTACAGCTAGTTACCCGTATTTTGAAACTCGAGCGTTGCGGTGTATGGGTGTAAATGTACACGATTTTAATTCTTTTTAATATTTGAATAAGATGCTCTACTTGGCCTCATTTTGGCTACGACAGTTTAATAATTTGTCATTTTCAATACTAATTATCATTAATGAAATAATATTCAGTCAGAGGGCTTATTTATGGTAATAATATGTATACTAAGCCTGAAGGAAAAACAATAATGTATAATTTAAAATAGTAATAATTCACCAGTACTTGTGATTTTATAAATTTATTTTGCGTATAGCTCTTTTTCGCTTGTGGAAGCTTCTTGGTATACGGTACAGTACCATACTCTAAAGTCAGTATTAAAGCAACCGCTACTAACGGAAAATTGTCGCAAACTGCCGTGCAAAGCCTACAAAGCTTAGGCAAAGAGATTTTCATAAAGATGTTTCTAAATGAATAGATGTGTATAAGAGACAGTTTACACATAGACCAATAAGTTCTAAGTCTAAAATTCTGCTGTTTTGTCTGTACTGTAACTCAGCGACACAACAATAATTCAATTTTTTTTTTTTGCTTCGAAAGCGAACATGGGCCAATATCCGCTAACATCAATTTCACAACAACTATACTAAATTTACACAAAGTTAAAAACATTCGAATACATAAAAATTGAAAGGACAAAAAAAATTTAAGGCCGAGGAACTGTTTGACAGGGAGGAGCAAATCTGAGATAGGTAAAGCGAGAAATGGAATGCGAGGTTCAGTCCCAATATCAGACGTCCCACCGTTGCTACCTATTAAGCAATGTATTATCTCCGACCATCATGTATCGTTAAATTCGTTCTCCGCTTTCCTAAAAAAAGTCACTGCTTGCTTTCCCTTCTTTTTGTACGACAAACCTCGCTAAATAGGCCTATACTTAGTAATCAAGAATAGTATTGTACACTTTTTTTTTATAAGAACCAGTAAAATTTTGCCGAGGCTCAGTGTTCTTATTTTTTGGCCAATTTCAGGCTCAAAATGTTCTTATTTTGTTCTTATGTTACACACTTTTCAAACATACAAATGTATTACCGGTATTGTACCAGTATACACTGTACTGGAATGTAGGTAAAAGTTCCCCTGGAAAAACTGGCCCCGGAAAAAAAGCCACTGAAAAAACTTTCCCAGAAAAAAGCCCCGGTAAAAATGGCCCCTAATAACAAGTATAGGTATACACCTCCTGTACTGTATTATAGAGGGTATTACATAGTAACACCTACTGCACATAAGGTACAGATATATTTTTTGGTTTTTCTAGTTTTTAAAAATAAAATCTCATTGGACATTTTACCTTAGCCTCAATTTGTTCTTATTTTGTTCTTAATTTTTAAGCAATTTCAACCTCAGTGTTCTTATAAAATGTGTTCTTATAAAAAAAAAAAGTGTATTTACAATGATTTCAATGTATAGTATGAACGAGAAAACGTACTTTATCTGTAAATTGTATGTGAATGAATTTTGAATTTCGTTTAATGGAATTCGTTGATTGATGTCATTCACTCTGGTGTTGATTATATATACATCTGTTTTGTTTTTGAAATGATGTGACTTTTAACTTCCTTTTCAGTAAATGTTCCCCTCTGCTTCACTCACTCCCCCTGTTTAAGCCACCAATAATTTATCGATTGGCGTGTGGTACGCCCAGTTCGGGGGCCTTTTTTAAAATATCAGGAGTCAAATAACATCGTTGACTAATTATAGCAATAAAAAATATGTAAAATTTGTGTTTTGTTACATTGTTCAGATTTTATAATTTAAGCAAATAAAATCATTTTATTATCTGATAGGCCTATTTGGTCAAATACGCCAAATAATCCCCAGTGGTAAAAATTTACTCTAATAACTAATTACAAAAACAATTGCAATAAAGAATAACAGTTTCATAATTTTGAGCCACATTTAAAACTGCCGATGGAGCCGTGAATGCCTGAACTTTAAAGGTATGTATGCTTTCTGTATAGCCTGAGGCATAGCCTACCGGTATGTGTGTAGGCTGATTGTTCTTCCAAATTCCATGTTTGTTCTTTTATTTTCAGCGTACTTTTATTTAGCCTCTATGCTTAGATTGCGTAGAGGAAGGGGGTTTAATATGAATTGATAATATTTTTTTATTATTTTAGTTTGCTGAGTGCTAGGCCTAGAGTTGAATTAGAGGCGGGGTGGGGGTGGGGCTACACTTTAGAATTCAAATACTGACAGGTGCATACTACTCTGGACTGGAGACTTCCATGTCTAATGCAAGAAGACTTCTAACATATCCCGATAACTTAATGGCCTACATTAAGAAGAAAGATTAATTAGCACACCGTGGAATCCTCAATTGTCAAGAATGCGAAAGAGGTGATTATTTAATTATATTCTTTACCAAAGTCCTGTTTTTAAATTCTCACAATATAATGAGCTTCAGTTTTTTGACAAACAACTTGGTTAGTCGTTAAGCAGACACTAACAACGTTGATTTGTGCAGTTATTTTTTGGAGCCTAGACTTCAACTTGCCTCAATCCATGTACTTTTCATTTAATTTAGTAGACATTTAGTTAATAATAAACCTTTTGCAGTTACCAACAAGGTTACAAGAAATATTTTTGATAATGCATTTGGAACTATGCCAGCACTCTAAATAAAGTTTTATTTCCTTATAATTTTCTCATAGGCCTAATAATTTCAGAAACTGCCTTTGGCGACATTAAACGATTATAAAATGGATTCGTCACTTTGATTTATGCTCACATATTCTGATTGGACCAAGTTTTGCAGTGGACTCTTCCATTACTTGGAGAGATGGAAACATTATAATTGAAATTTTGTAACTAAAATATATCATATTTTTATCACCTCAAAACGCCTTTAAAAATAATGTATAGTTAACAAATATTTGTAATAACACATTTCGTTACTTATTATTAGTTATTTTTTTAAATTAAAGATATCGGCAATTATAATTGAACACTGTCGCAAATGGTTTAACCCAAAAAACAATAATGTATAATTTAAAATAGTAATAATTCACCAGTACTTGTGATTTTATAAATTTATTTTGCGTATAGCTCTTTTTCGCTTGTGGAAGCTTCTTGGTATACGGTACAGTACCATACTCTAAAGTCAGTATTAAAGCAACCGCTACTAACGGAAAATTGTCGCAAACTGCCGTGCAAAGCCTACAAAGCTTAGGCAAAGAGATTTTCATAAAGATGTTTCTAAATGAATCTGTATCGTCCGAAGAATCTGTATCGTTCCATTCAGAAGATCCGTTCCAAGTGTTACAAGATGAGTTATCGGCGCTCCAAATTAACTCTGATCTATTTTTTAAGATCATGATGGCTTGCTTGATATTTTGTAAGTATTTCGTTAACGTCTAGTAATTACGCCCTAATTGTTTGCTAAAATATAATACACAGACAAGGGCATAGGCCTATTTTATGGAATTCTGGTTGTTTAGTTAAGTGTGAATTTAGTGCAGTGTGAACATTGTGAGTTCAGTACAGGTTAAAAAGAATTCAGAGTGTACTGGCGCTTGTATAACCAAGACGCTTTTTCGTGGAGAAGTGGTTATGATATCCGCCATGTATGCGAAGTGTTCCGGGCTCGAGTCTCAGTAGACGCTCTTATATTTTTCATTTGTCAGATTCCTCTTCTGTTAC